CACACACACACACACACACACACACACACTATACACACACACACACACACACACAAACACACACACTATACACACACACACACACACACACTATAAACTATGTGCTGTACAAAAAAAACAACAAAAAAAACAGATTAAATCAGCTGAAAATGTGTGTATTAATGTTTCTATCTGTCCAAAACTATTAAATACGCATTATATTACAAATACAATAATTAGTACACAAAAGTTTACTATACACTATAAAACATTATAAAATCTATAGTATAGAAAATGTGTTTAAAAAGTATTAAATAATGTATAAAAAATTAACAAAGATTTCATAAAAAAAATTAATAAAAAAAACTATAGAAAGTTAAAAAAATATGCTATATCATTATTATTTTACATTTTATGTTATATAAGTTATATCATAAAAATTATTTAAAAAACTATAAAAGCTTAAAATAAAATATGAAACAAAAAAGATGGCATAGCATTTTTACAAATTTGTTATAATCAAGTGTAAACATTTAATATGGTAACGCTTGGAGGAGCCAGGACAATTTTTATTATAACTCCAATTAGATTCGTCTGAAAGAAGGAAGTCTTATACACCAAGGATGCATCGAGGGTAAAACACAGGCTAATTTTCATTTTTGGGTGAACTAACTCTTTAAGTATAAAATGTTTAAAATATACTACAAAACATAAGTGTAGTATAAAAGTTTAAAAGCTTAAAGGGGTCATATGATGTTGCTAAAAAGAACATTATTTTGTGTATTTGGTGAAATGAAATGTGTTTATGCAGTTTAAGGTTAAAAAAAACACATTATTTTCCACATACTGTACATTATTGTTTCTCCTCTATGCCCCGCCTTTCTGAAACGCATACATTTTTACAAAGCTCATCGGTCTGAAAAGCGAGGTGTGCTGTGATTGGCCAACTATCCAGTGCGTTGTGATTGGCCGAATACCTCAAGCATGTGACGGAAATGTTACGCCCTTCACTTACTGTTGATGCCGTGTCCCGGCCGGAGCGACGAGACAAAAACATTAAAACCCATTATAAATGAGGCATTTGTTGCATCCAGTGGGGACATAATTACGGATTGAGCGAGCGGAGGCCGGTGGGCAAGAGTGAGCGGAGGCCGGTGGGCTAGAGTGAGGGGCGGCCGGCGGGCTAGAGTGAGGGGCGGCCGGCTGGCTTGAGTGAGGGGAGGCCGGTGGGCTAGAGTGAGGGGAGGCCGGTGGGCTAGAGTGAGGGGCGGCCGGCGGGCTAGAGTGAGTGGAGGCCGGCTGGCTTGAGTGAGGGGAGGCCGGTGGGCTAGAGTGAGGG